ACTTCAATACTTTGATAGCTGGACCTTGGTAATAAGTCTCAGGAAGTGGCCAAATAAGGGATTAGATGTTGGTGACTAGCTTTAGGAATGTAATCTAGTGGCTTCTGGCAAGGCGAAGGGAATGGGAGAGAGGAGTAAGGTCTGCCAATGCCATGTGCTCAAGTGGGCTAGTGTCCCTTCAAGACCAAAGTACAGGTACCACTCAAGTCCAGCTTGGTGAACCACTGAGTTTTAATGGAGTTACTTACAGAAGCAGAATGACTCACAGACAGCTGCATCACCAAGGCCCACTCCAACGTGGGTGACAGTTCACAAGAGCTGGGAAACCTGGAGCACACTGCACCGCCTGCAGGCAGCTCAACAGGCTGGAGGGAGTGACTCTGGTCTAGACAGAGTTTTCTAGAAAGCCAAGCTGCCTTCTACTTCTTCTAGGCAGCTTGTCTGGTCAGAATCTTCTTTGTATGTCTCCCCCCCCACTCCCCCCCCCCCCCTTTTTTTAATAGCTCAGCTTGTCTTGAGTCTTCTCTGCAGCTTAGCTTTTTCCTCTGAGGGGGACTCTCAGCTTTTATATACTCTGGCAAAGGGTGACCTAGGGAATCTGGTCAGTTTTAGGGACTTCCTGAAGCTACTCTGAGTTTTTGCCATTTTGTTTAAGGGGCTTACCTGTAGAGTGGAATGTTTTAATTCTGGAGGAAACTGCTACACAACACCAACTTGCTTTTGGTCATGGTGTTTCAAAATAGCAACAGTAACCCTAAGATGAAGTTTAAAAAATAGTTTGTGTCCAAATGTATCCTGTGCACACATGCGACGGTTCAAAGTCATCAGGGGAGGACCCCAAGTGTGGCTCCTTGTCTTTCATCTTGTATTTTTGAGGCATGGTCTCTGATTAACACTGCAATGCCAAGTTAACTGGCTGTCAAGTTTCCAGGGATTCGCCAATCTCTACTTTCCATCTTGCTGTAGGAATGCTACCACACACGGCTTTCACAGGTCCTCAGGAGTCAGACTTCAGCTGTCACACAGTATAGCACACTACCGGGTGATCTCCTCAGCTCCAAACCATTTTTGAACTGCATGGCTCAAGTTCCTTAAGAACCATTTATTTGGGGGGTAGGCAATTCCTTTAATCCCAGCACTAAAGGGGCAGAGGTAGGTGGATCTCTGAATTCAAGGTCAACCTGGTCTACAGAGTGAGTTCCAGAACAGCCAGGGGCCACACAGAGAAACCCCTCTCAAAAAACGAAAAAATAAAAACCACTATTTTTATCAAGAATAGCTTTAAAAGATACCAATGCCACCCACAATAGTTTTCAAATACGTTACCACATTCTTTTCTTTTTCTTTAGTCTTCTGCATATTAGCATGTGAGTAAACAATTTGGGGGTGGACAGATGGCTCAATATTGAGTGTATACTCCTTTTGCAGAGGACCCGGGTTTGGTTTCCCACACACACACACACAACTCATAACTGTAACTGTAGCTTCATGGTTCTCATTCCCTAACACTTCAGACCTATAATACAGTTCCTCAAGTTGTGGTGACCCCAACCATTTTTGTTGCCACTTCATAACTGCGATTTTGCTAGTTATGAATCACAATGATCTGTTTTGCAACCCTGTGAAAGGGTTGGAACCCATAGGTTGAGAGTTGCTGCTTTAGTTCCAGGTTAGAGGTCCTCTTCTGATCTTTGCATGCACTATATGCACACGGTACACAAACTCATGGATCCGTAAGTGCACACACTGAACACTCCATGGAGCACAAAGGCCAATGACAGCATGTCTACAACATTTGTATCTCATGATTATGTCTTTAAAAGAAACTTCTCCATTCCTGGGGGTGGGGAGTCATATTGTCTTTTTTGTGCTGTGCTTTTAAATTTAATTTTAAGCTCATCTGGGCTTTCTTTGAGGAATGGTATGACAGCAATCAATTTAATTTTCTCCAGCAGTTTTCAATGAATAATTCCTTATGGCCAGAATAATTTTAAAAGCCAGTGTTAACACATGCCTTCATTCCTATTTTTACCCATTTCCCATTACCCCGTCTATGCTTACACTACTATAACTGTTTTAAATTTAATTGAACTTTTGAATAATGTGATGTATTTTTTTTTGGCACAGCAATTTCCTTCTATTTCTTTCTTCTTTCAATGGGTATTTTCCTATTTTCATCTGTTACACTTCCATATGAGGATTTACATCATATTAAAAACAAGGGTTTTGGTTTTTGGAATGGCTTTGTATAAATTCATATATTAATCCAAAAGGAAATGACATGTTTACAACAGTCAAAATGTTCTTATTATCAAATGCTTATAAGCTTCTGGGCTTCTCCATAAAGAAAATCATGCCCATTATATATGCTTATAGCAATGTATACAAACATAACACATGTCTAAATCACATGTGTACATACTACACCTACAGTATATTCATACATATACACTACACCCACAGTACATTCATTCATACTTACTATATATACCCAGAGGACAGATGTGCACATATATCACCTACAGCATGAATACACACTATACCTACAGTACACTCATACAAACTATAAGCTACACCTACAGTACATGCTCACATACACACTATATACAACCACAGTACACGTCTGTGCACACACTACAATGCATAAAGCACATGTAAACAAACAATTTTGTAGTCATTGATCTAGAGGTTAAGGCTGACTGTGTCTGAGTTGTGGCTACCGTGTTACAGAGTACCTACCCTCCCTGTAAGTGGAACTCAACATGCATGTTACAACAGTGAATCAGGTTATCAGAGCCAGGACATTTGCACAAAACTTATAACAAGACAAGTTTAAGGACATTTGTACAAGATTTATTTTTCGTTAACCACAATGTTTTAGAGTGAGAATATACACCCAATACAGAGGAGTGATTCAAAATCCACCAAATGTTTAGGAGAGAGCCCAGGCCAGTGGCGTTGTGCCCCAGCTCAGGAAGTGAGGAGAGGTGACAGACAGTACCAGATCTGCCATGTCATAAGACAAACAGTTGGGAAACTGGACAGCAACGCCTCATTCACTCTGCTATGCACCAAAAGCTTGGTGCCTGCATGGCATTTCCATACTTTGTATGAGCATTTGTTTGAGCCACAGTTTCTCATTTTTAAGTGACATTAAATAATTTCTCCCCAATCGCACGGCTGTAACACTGACAAAGACAAAGACGAGCCAAGGGTGCCGTCAACCATTCACCCAAACACACCCTGGGAGAACATTCAGTCTTACTGCACTTAGTATAGTCCCAATAGTTAAGTGACATATAAGAACCAACACAACTACTGTTTTCCAAACCACTCAACTCTTAACCCCATGCTGACGACTTTCCCAGAGGTGCAATCCATCAGCACTCTTCTGAAAATGAATCAAGCCTAAAGAGAAGTTCTTTACAGCAGAGAATGGTTCTGTAAAACAGCAGGTCCTGCAGCGAGGTGGTGGACCCCTCTGGAAAGAGGTTCAAGTTAAGGTCTCAGTTAGGGCAGGAGGGAGGAGGCAGTGACTACAGTTAAGTAGCAGGGGGACCAGAGAGGAGACATTTCCTTTGGGAAAGAACAGGTACCTTCTTCCAAATATTCTGAGAGTCAGGAGGCAAGGGAAATTTTGATGTGGCAATTAAAGCACAAGAGCCATTTCTCTACGAACCTCTGCAACTTCTGGTAAAAATGAACTTTATTTTGCACAGTTTTTCTGAACGCAGTGATCACAACAGAAAAGGTTCTCTACACTGGGTTTCAGCTGTGTCAGTTACCAATGTCACATTCCAACTTTGAATTTTAAAGTCCCCTTAAGAGATTACCACTTGGATAAAAGCAAATACAATATTCCAAGCTACGAGCTCAAGGGATACACCATAAAAACAAACAAACAAAAAACCCCAAAACTCTAAACACTCTAACAGTTGGATAGCTAATGCAGGCTTTTTGTTGTTTCTTATTATCTCAGATTAGTATATTCTATGAATATACATCCGTAGAATAATGCTTAGTTTAATGTTGGCTGCTTAATAACTGAATCTTAGCTCAAGGGCAATTAACCAGAGAAATAATTAATTAACTACTGTGAGAGGAAACAGGAGAAAACAAAACAAAACAAACACAGCCTCAATAAGACAGGAAAATCTGGAAGTTATTTACAGGGAGAACCGAGAGGTCATTTAAACACTATGTGCTCCTCTTCCCATGACCTGCAGAAACCAGTTTTGTTTGCAAGCTCACCACGGCCTTTGCTAGTAGGTGTATGAAGCCTCTTGTGCCGATAACCTCTGATGATGTTTGGGCTATACAGAGTACATTGAAGTGAGGAGTGTGCAAATTGTTCCTGAGGAATCATTCATGTGTGCAAATTTGCAACCTGACAAAAAGCAAACAAGGGGGGCAGCAGCTACACAGGTCTGAGCACTAGAGACATATATGCAGTGTCATGACCAAGGGCACCCATTCCTCTGCACTCTGCACCTACACACAAACCAACTTCATCCTAGCAAAAATGGAGAGTAAACGACTTGTTATGGGAACCAGTAACTAGAAACAACGCACAATTTGTGGCTTTCTTTTAGGGCTGACTTCCAGGCAAACGCACACACTTGCCAGCTTGGCCAAATAACTGCACTACAATGACTGGCTAAGCGATCTATATTATTTGGCCTTTGAGGATCTGGTTAAGTAGTCCTCAGCAGGAGTAGAAAAAGTGCACACTGCACTGGCAAGAACACATTTTCTGGAAATACTAAGTGGGAGAGAGCAGGTTTTTATTTCCTCATAGTTGAGGACTAAGAATTCTGTCAAGATTTCAATTAATAAGCTAGACCAATTTCACCTTGAGTAAGTTTTACAGACTGTACGGATCACACTTTCCCCACACCTTTTAGCATCTGTACAGCTGTAGCCAACTCTAACTCAAAGAACTTCACAGGCTTTCCCTGCACATTTTGTGCTAACACAGAATGAGTATGATTACTTCTCCATTAATTTAATAACAAAAGCACTCACTTTAATGCCAATTTACATAATATAATGCTTTTATAGGGAAGGTTCTGTTAGAGAAAAAAAGTGTACTCTCTTTCAGGGGAGGAGTATAAATTAAGACACTGAGCTACTTACCTATGTTTCAAGAAATGTTCCAAGTTTGCTGTCAAAAATATTAAAGCCATGTAGAAGAAACCAGTTCCAAATGATATTACAACCGTGCGGCAAACATCCCAACAGAAAAGCAAACTTTGGAATTCTTGATAAAATGAAAATTTCCCTTGCTATTAGAGTAGAAAAGGCTGTGCAGGCCACAGTAAGAGCCTGCCTGTCCCTACTCTAGGTTCTTCAATATAACCCAAATGAAACTAAGTCAATTAAAAACCCCACAAACTACCAACTGCAGAGAAGTACCCAAAAGAGCCAAGCTGTCAGCTCTTACTATTCCTCCCCTAGACCATCATTTACAAATCCTGAACTGATATAGGACAACGTTCTTGCCCCTGTATCCCCATTTCTAACTCTCTGCCCACTGAGTTCGCAGCAGTAGCCTGAGGAGGCATTCTCTGAAGGCTCAGAATCACTGTCGGCTAAGCCTGCTGAGCACAAAGCCAAGGCTCACTTCATATTCAAGCAAAACTGAGGAGAAAAATATTTTCCTTCACCATGTCTATTTGTTGTTTACCACTGGAAAAACACCTGGAGTAAGCTTCAGACTTTTGTGCGGACCTAAAGAGCACTGTTGGTGCAGTGAGACAGAAAATCCAGCTGAAGGAAGCCTTCAAAAACCAGTGCAAACTCTCCCCTACTGTATTCAAATATCAAACATGATGTTTACAAGAAACAGGGCAGAGTTGACCTTTTACAAATACTAAATGCATCGATTAAAATGAGATGGACCAAGACTACTCACCATATTTGGCTTTACTAACACTGCTCCCTAGAGGGATTCAGGGAGCAGCTCCCCCTGTTGGGCAATCTCTACAGTAGCACAGCCCTGGACCAGAGCTCCACCCACACTACAGACGCTGGTAAGTTCAGATGGGGAGATGGCAGGAAGGAAACCACTCAGTAAGAGTTGGTCCCCATGAGAACTGGGACAGAAGGTGAATTCTGACGCCTATCCATTTTCTCAATCAGGTCCTGTCAGAAGGCCACACCAGAGGCCTTGGTAGGTCAGTATGGGATATCAACTTCTCCAGGAAGCATTTTGAGTTTGATGACATGGTCACACAGTTGCAAAAGTGCACAAAGCTCAAGGCACAGAGTTAAAACCGTGAACTGATGGGGAAAGTTATAGTGAAAGCAGTTATTAGCATTTTCCTCCATAAGACTAGTGCTAAACATAGACCGATTCTGAATTTAAAACATTGTTTGGGACACAGGTAAAAACACTGTACTGTAGCATCTGCTTGGTTTTAAAGCAAAAATATCTTGACATGAGATACCATGTGCCTAGTCTACAAAAGAACAAGACAAGTGCTTAAAAGAATTCTTTCATTTTTGTATTTTTTGGAGGAAGCTGATTTGCATGTTGGGCTTCACTTAGCAATGGCCACTCTCCAAGACACTTGCTCTGTAGATGAACTTAATAAAAGATTGTCCCATTTCAAAATCACCCTCAAGTCTAGCAGCAATTGTTTTTGTTAGTTCTTGTTTTTTAAAATTGAAAATCAAAAGAAAGAAGTGTGGCATCCTCTCTGCGAACAGCCTCTGACAGAGCTCCTGAGTGGTGCAGGCCCCACTGTGCCTGGAACAGTGTCTGCAGCTCCAGTGTCTTCTCTCCGGGAGAAAAGTCTTCAACAGTCACTATCTGTATCCCCTGGAACCTGCACAAGCGGACTGGTTGTCTGGAAAAAAGGCCAGAAGAAGAAAAACTGTGAGAGACAGAGAGCACTCTGTTCACACACGCTATTTCTCTCCTGATTCCAAGGCCAGGAGTCAACTTCACGAATCGTCCTGTGCCGCCTGGACCATCAACTCCACCCCAGGGATTCCACACTTATCCTCAGAAGCTGGCCCAGACCAAAAACACCAACACAGGAAAAGCATCACTACTCACTATAAGCCAACTCATCCCCAGCTCTCTTCCGGGACTGGTCACCTCTAGGGATAAGAAAAGAGAAAGAAGTCAACAAAACTGACTGGTTTCTTTACACACAAAACCAGCAGAAATAAATCGAACAGCAAATGCTGTCCTAACCCAACAGCCTGTTTAAACAGATATTAAACGTCAGCTGAGTCATTTACCCCAAGTATTTGTACCTCAAGGGTATGTAGTCTGTAAAACATAGAAAGTTATTAAATCTATAAAATCTATAAGGACAGTTTACACTGAGAACTAGAAACAGGTGGAAAGTAAAATATGTCTTTGATGACAATCTTGGGTTCTGTTAATATTATCCCCAAGAACCTGCACACAGTAACCAAACTTTAAATATCAAACAGAGAGAAGTTAAAAATCTTGCCCTCAAGCCCCAAACTGAGACCCTCCAAGCCTTTGGAAGTCAGAAACTAAGGTGTCTGCAGACCCTTGAGGTGGAGACCACAAACCTTCAGATATCGTGCCCAGTCTAGCTTCATAAGCCTAGAGGCAGTCAAGAGTGGTTGTGAACAGGCCTTACGCCTCCTATGAATCACACTCTGACTTCAGACACTAACCGAAAACTCCAGTTCTTAAGCAATGAGCAGTAACGGCTCCACTTGTCTCAACCAAGGGTACAATCAATCCTCCTTCCTGAAATACTTTTTTCTTAGCTTCTTCTGACCCTCTCCCACCCACTGTTGGTTCCTTTGCTGCTCTGACTAACACAGCCATGGACCACCTTTGCTTCTCCATACACATCCTTCCCTTTCTTCCAAGATGCAGACCTTGTCTGTTTCCTCTCACAGTAGTTAATTAATTATTTCTCTGGTTAATTGCCCTTGATTTCTGTCTGCCTGAGATCTGTAGGTTCAGTATTCTCATTATTAAATACACAATGAAAACTACCATACCGAGAATATAACATCTGTTCAGCTCCATCCCCAAACCTTCCTCAGGCTTGTATTATTCTTGACAAAGAGTCAGAGTGAGCTTATACAAGGTATAAGATCAGTTCACACCTCTGATTAAAACTCTTCATAACTTTCCACTACAGTTTAAAATCAATTCCAATTCATCTCCCAGCCACTGTCAGGCTCTGGACTACATCTCCCACCTCATTTTCCAGCACTTACCACCTCTGCTCACTTTGGGGTGGTAATCTTTTTCTGTTTGCTGCTCTCTTCCAAGGCGGTTACATAGCTTGTCTCTTCCTCCTCACCTCACCACGTCACTGATAACCCCTAACTCTACTTCATTCTCTAATTCTCTCACAGTGCTTACTTTTTACTTGAAACTGTATGTACTTTTGCAAGTTTATTATCTCTTTGCCAACAGTAGAGAGTAAGTACCACGAAAGTGAGAACTTTGCCTGTCTTGTCCACCCTAGTGCCTCAGTGTCTAGAACATAAGAGACACTGGCAATCTATCTGCTCAGTCAACAAATTGGTTAATAATTCACAATCTTATATATTACTAAAAAGCTGACCTGAGCATCCCACATTTCAATTAACCAAACAAAATAATACCTGATTACTAAACCAATGCTAATTTTGAAATGTTGTAAGATTTTGAACAATTTTCCAGATATTCGAAGTTTATTCTTTCCCTTATTTGGTTCTGACCAAGACAGACATCTCTTGCTAATCTAAGGATCCTTGATGACTGGCAGAGAGACCATAATACATGCCTGGAAGGTATATGGTTCTTTACAGTGAACATCTAAAAGAAATTCCACTGTATTCTCCAGGGATAGTCCTGAGCAGCCTAAAAAGATATCCAACTTTGTGCCCTACCAAATCCGGCCGAGCAACTTCTGTGGTTATAATACTGATTAAAACTGAAGATTTGAAACCTTTTATCAGAACCTCTACTTCTAAACAAAGTATCCATTCCTACCTCCTCTCTCGTTAAATAGAAAACAAAGACAGACCAGTAATAGGGGTGAAATGCAAATGTGGAAACAGTAGGCCAGAGGAAAGTAATTGATGCAGATGCAAAAAACAAAACTGATTCATTAAGTCTGCCCGCTACACACTGCTCTATGAAATGGAAAAGCCCAAATCCAGGGGCCTCACTCTCAGCAGAACAAACAACAACAACAACAAACCAAAAACACCAGTATCTTTACACGGTTTTACTATATTCCAGAAACAGAAGTCACTTCTTCTCAGGCAGAACATCTTATTTGCCCTTGCAAAATGTTTGGTGGGACTCTAGGCTGGCCTGAACAGTATACTCCAGCCAAGGGCCCATGTTTTCTGTTTCAAGGTATTTCTGAAAGCAGACATCAACCTATCCTCCTCTCCAACCAATTCAATTACCCACAAGAAGATCATAATGCTTCAAGACTATATTACCACTCTAGTTTCAAAATAAGTCTTCCCTGTACTCCCATGCATCTAAAGAGCTACTGCAGAGGAGAATCTATCTGAAGACATTTGCATAGTATGTAAAAACATTTCAAAGACTTTGACACAAAATGAAGAGCTTGGAATTCCAATAAAGAACCACAAACTTGGTGAAATAAAACTCACAAATTATTGCTCAAGTCCAAAGAGGCAGTCAAAGAGTTATCTGAGAGCCTATATATTTTGGGGGTTTCTCCCCTTTCATATCAGTGAACACTATGTCTCTCTAAGACAATCTTAGCTAGATAATGACTCAAGAGAACATCAGTCTGACAGGGTATTCCAAAGAAGGCCCATGACACAGAGACAGGCTTGCAACAGGGCTGAGCATGGCAGTCCTTTCTGATAGGTGGTTAATAAGCCTAAAAGTGGGTCATAGGATGTCAGCTCTGGCAGGGCCTACTCTGCTCAAAGTACCTGTCAGAATTACTTAGAAGGCAGAGTTTAATCCTCAGAGTAAATGTGTAATATAGTGTCAACTATAGAAGTGGCTTAAGTTTGTGCTACAAGACATCTCAATTTTACTACCTCTTAGAATACAACCTAATGTTTAAAACTCAGTCAGAAGCTGTTTTAAAGAATTCATTATGAGTAATAACAATTCCAATTTACTTCAAAAGCCTAAGGCAGTTCCCTGATCCCCTTGGCCTTGGCAGCACAACACTACAATAGTTCTCTGAAAGCAAAAGAAATACTGTATGATGGCGCTTCCAGAGTCAGCTACTCATTTCATCGCAACCCAACTCTGACATGATACATTACGTGCATCCATGAAACTGCCAAAGAATGTGGCATTAATGGCTTCACTCCATGCACAAAATACTTCAATACTGGAAGATACAGGATTCCTCAATCTCAAACAGAAAAGCTACCTCTTACATTCAAGTAACACCTGTCTGCACTGACACTTCTGGTGTCAGCTACTAGGGAGGGAACTAAATGACCAGTGGGATTCTCAGTACCTCCACTACCTCATGACTACTGATGTCCCCCTACACAATGAAGTCCAATCTGTGGACAGACAGACAACAACATTTCCTTGCTTTCTTAACCCGAAACAGATTAAGTAAGCAACCATGGTAAAAGCTATTTTTGTTTTGTTTTCCTTTGTTTGTCTGTTTCTGAAATTCAGTTTGGTCTCAGAATTTTTTAGAGAAATGCCCATCCTGTCCCATCAGATAATCAAGATTCAATCTGCTGCTTGGGTCTTCATTCTCACAAGTTTCCTTAACACTAGGTATTCAGATACCAGAAGATAGGAGAGACAGATAAACATGAAAAGTTATGAAAATATAATTAGTGTGTCCTTGACTTCCTAACACAATCAAGTACTTTCCCACTGAAGATCACCAGATAATTCATTCTAATTTAAAGAAAAAAAAGACCTGTGTTTACTATGATTTCTCTAGGGTACAGCCATAACTGCAAACATTTTAGAAAAATAAACATAAACACCAAAAGCAAGGGAAGAAAAATTTCTGGACATTTATAAAGAGAGACTTTACTTTTAAAGAAAATTTAGATTTAGAGAAAACATGACAATAACGTTTTTGCGTCGTTTCAGGATTAATGTGAGAGACTCTAACCTGGAAGAAGGCCTTGTCCCATCTAACTGTTTATTCTTCAAAATGCACACAGAAATGCACAGCTTCCTCCAGCTTAGCACCCAGCTGGGAATGTCCAGATAAGGAGCCTGCAGTTCCGGCTCTCAGACAGTGATACTCGACACTCTCTCTAGCTAAGCTACAAGCCTAGGAAAATGGGCTTCATTGTCACTAAAGGAAAGCCAACTTGCCTGGTAAAACCGTTCTGTATAAGTTCTCTTTGAAGCTTCTGATCTTGAGCGGCATATTCAGATAGTTCAGATTCCACAGCTGGAGGCAGAATGTTTGGAATAAACTTAGAAAACAAAGTCGGAGCCATCTGAACCCATTCTGTAAAAGGAAACATATGATTTGTTAAGAAAATAATAAGAAATTTAAAAAGCAAGCTTCTTATTTAAGCAACAAGAATATATATTAAACCAAATGAAAACTTAGTCCAGCCCTATTTTGGTGAACACACAAAAATGTATATTTTTCTTTCTAAAAAGTATAAAGAAAATTGACATTTTTACATTACTGATTCAAGAAAATTAAATGAAAACCTATAACTTTTGTCTAAATCTTGCAAAAAAATTATAAAGATGTAGGAAAACACAAATGAGATACTGTACAATGCTGAGTGGGAAAGGATGTGCTGAGAAGCAGCTAGATGGCTAAACCAGCTCTCTATGAGCCAGTAATTCAACAAGAAACCAGTCCCAGAACACAGCACTTCAGAGGGAACAACAAGTATAACCCAGAGAGGAAAAAAATCCAAATGGGGCAAGGAAGTGGAGAACTAGTTAGTGCTTTGCAAATAAATCTCTTTTGATCCCTGTTAAATGACAAGTCTGTGTGGGAGTGGGAATACAATAGTAAAGAGAATTACATGGTTATCAAGAGAAAGACCAGAAAAATAAAAAAAAAGTAATTGTTATCTTTTTGAAGCATGTTTTTCTGATTAGAGAAAGAAATTGGTTGAAAATGGATGGAATAGAAGGTGGGGAAAATCTGGAAGCAGAAAGAGAGGGAAAATTCTGTTCAGATTAAATCTGGTGAAAAAATAATCTATATTAAGCACAATAGGAAAAAAATAAAGTGTAAAAGAAACTTAATATGTTACCACAGCATAATCTAGAAAATGGAATACTTGGTATAAATAAAAAGCTAAAGAAAAAAGTAAAAAAAAAAAAAATAGAAGAGCAAAGAGAGGACATAGGGATACATTTCTACCAGACATAACAAAAATGTGTATTAGAGTATTTGTACAAATCAGGTTCAGAGAAGAGTAAAAGACAGGATAAGCCAGGTGGTGGTGGCACACACCTTCAATCCCAGCACTCAGGAGGCAGAAGCAGGCGGATCTCTGAGTTCAAGACCAGCCTGGTCTACAGAGTACATTCCAGGACAGTTGGGATTGTTATACAGAGAAACCCTGAATCAAAACAAACAAACAAACAAAGACAGGAATGAATTATCTGAAGAAAAAATACACAGCATTAAGTAGGCTTGCTAATATTAATTATTCAAGGTAAAACCCACGTGCACACTGGTCAGGGATGGCACTGCACCTGAACTTCCTGAATAAGGTCTTCCATGGGCACTATTTAGGTTTTTCCAAGTATTTCAGGTTAGGGCTTTCAAAATGCCCCCTTTATAAAAATTCTGGCTGTTTATACTGAAAGAAACATGACAATGCTCTATAAAGCCGGCAAGCCTTCTTTAAAAACTGCAATCTGAATCTGAAAGCCCACATTTTTGATTCTGTGTGGTGGCGGCCAACAGCAAGTAAATAGTAGAAAACAATGTGCAACTGCAGAAGGGCTAAAGAGAGGAAACGTGTGGGAGCCGGAGCAACGGCCAGCCAGTCTGAGACTCCAGGTGGTTTATCTTCAAGGAGTCGTTAACATAAAGATAATGAAACAAAAGCCAAAAGCGTATGTATTAGATGAAAAGAGGCAGAGTAAGATTGCTGCAAATGCTCCAAAAGTGAGTTTTTAAAAACTCTGACAGAAAGTTAACATCAACGCTAAATCCTCTAAATTGCCAGTGGGTGAGGACAGGGTGAAGGCTGGAAACCTACCACGGTGACTGAAATGTGGCACACAAAGACTAACATGATTAAGGACACCTGTGGCAGAAGAAGCTTCTATGTTTCAAATTCAGCTTTTGAAATATTCCAACCTTAATCTGTCAGGTGACTAAATTTTACTAGACCAGGAACATAATGAGTACTGGCAAGACATGGAAATGTCAAAACATTTAACAGCGTCTCTGAACATGCCTAGGGTAGCAAAAGGTTAGTCTGTGATAAAATTCACCTTTTGAAAAGGACAATTCTCACAGAATTCTCCTCACAAGGAGTATAAATCCTATTTCCAGAGCTCAACCTGGATAAAATAGCATTTAGATAAATAGGCATCTAAAATTTTTTTCTACCCATATTGATTAGCTTTATTCTGTAATTTTGCTGCATATATTAAAGGCCATGGTTGATAAACCTGCCTACTTATGAGGCAGAATTTGTCATTCTACACTGGGAAGACTTCCAACATATAAGAAAAAAATCATTCATAATCTATTATACAAAAAATTCATGAGGATTCTTAATAACACTATAGGAAAATGAAATTCAAATATCAGAAAAGCTAGAAGAAAAATAATTACTAGAAAATGTAGTAAGATATTTTTAACTTTATAAAAGTAATTACTTGATACAAATGATTACTGTTAAAAGTTACAAGGAATGAGCGCAAGACCAAAGTTAGATAATAAACATGAAAACTACAAGTCACTAATCATTTTATAGTACCTCAAGAAAAAATAATTTCTTGCCAGACAGTGGTGGCAAATGCCTTTAATCCCAACACTTGGGAGGCAGAGGCAGGCAGATCTCTGTGACTTCGAGGACAGCCAGGGCCACAGAGAAACCCTGCCTCAAAATATTAATAATGATAATAATACTAGTAATTTCTTGATAGCAGTTTCACTTGGTTCTTGGTTCAAAATTTAGCAAACTAAATTTGCAGTGTCTTTTAAATCAATTATCAATTCATCAAAAATAATCATGAAATTCAAGTGATGAATACCAAGTTAAAAATGCTTATTATTGGTATCAGGTTAAATTCTTTTTTTAAAGATTTATTTATTTACTTTATGTATATGGATGCTCTGCTGACTTTATGCCAGAAAGGGGACCAGATCCCACTAGAGATGGTTGTGAATTGAACTCAGGACCTCTGAAGAGCAGCCAGTGTTCTTAACCACTGAGCATCTCTCCAGTCCCCAGGTAAAATTCTTCATTCACATTTTATTTTTTTGGATCTTCAGATAACAAAACCTCACAAAACAGTAATTTCTGTACAAAAAAATAAAGTATCTTTTGTGTTTACTGATTGCAGGACAATGTTTTAACCTGAGATTTCTACAAGCTTCTCCTGCGGGCATGCTGTAAATGGTAGATAACTCGGTGGCAAACTTGATGTCCTACAAAGGCTCTTTGGATTGCTTTGCATCCACCCTGTTTTTCTATGAATAGACACAGTAAGGTCATTTACATGCCTCCCTTGTGAATATGGGCACTGCTTATGTTTCTTCCCCCAAATTCTCATGACATAACTTTATCAACTGTTCTAATCCCTTGTCAGTTATGTAATGAACTAAAAAGGTGTAATTTGAGTGTGTATTCTTACACATACTTACAGTGTGAAATCAAAGAGAAACTCCATAACAACAAACACACTATTCACTTTCTTGCTTTGTTAGCTATGAGGCTTTCCGGCTGGCTTTAGAATCACCCCTCCTGCTTCAGTTCACAGATGACTGTACTTTCAACTGTCAGTACAGCAAATTATTCTGTGGATCTCTCTCAGGTGCTACAAAAACCAAAGCAGCTGCTTTTCACTGGTAGAAAACGAGTTCCAAGCAAGTCCTAAACCAACATTTCACGCAGATTTGAGTTCCAGGATTTTTACTACAGTAAACCCAAATGTCATTTGGCCTTAGAGAGCATGTAAGAACCAATGCCCTTTGGATAAGGCTGTAATAAATAAAAACACAGGCCCAATCCCAACAGAAATGACAGGTGTTTACCTGGTCTGAGAGTGTACAGGCCTTTCACAATATTTGCCATAGTTGAAGGTGTGACCTGAAATGGTGTTGACTGGGCTTCTAAAAGTAAAGCTGGAATAAGAAGAAAAAACAGGTAAAAAAAAGAAAAAGAGAGAAAAAGAAAAAGAAAAGAAATAAACAAAAATGAAAAAGAATTTTTTAAAAAAGAAAAAAGCATGTAACACTTGCTAACAGTAAAAATTTCTCTCTATTAGCATTTTGAAGGCCGAAGAGGTAAACACCACAAGAAGAGCAGCACAAGACAGATCAAAAGTTTATACATACAGAACGATTACAAAGCCTTTACACAGCACTCAATAAAACAGGAATCTGTTGCTGACTAGTAACTGAAGCAGGGCAGAGTCTGAGAGAAGTAAAGCAACAGAACTGGGGGACTCATTACGTAGCTCAAAGTGTCTGCCTGTGTGGGGAGAAAATGACAGGTGACCCTTATTTCTTCAAATCACCCTCATCTCAAATGCTTGGATCACAAGTTTTCTTGGATTTTATTGGCTGAGCATCCCTAATGCAACAAATCTAAATACTCGAATTTCTGTCATGCTCAAAAAGCTACAGATTTCAGCTGGGAATGGTGGCACATGTCTTTACTCCTGGCCCTCAGAAGACAGAGGCAGGCAGATCTAAGTCAGAGGCCAGCCAGAACCACACAGTGAAACTCCCTCCCCATCAAATACAAAGTAAATTATAGATTTCAGAGTACTTTGGACTTTCAGGATTAGGGAAACTCAACCAATAATAATTTTATTAACTGTATCAAAGCTTACTTTCCCAAATGCCATAGCTTCATCTTTCTACTAAAAAAATCTTCTTATGCAAAAGGGCAGAGATGATGACAACTCACCTTTTCTACTTCAGCAACTTTGAACAGTCAACTTTCTTTTATATAACCTACACTTCCTCCATTTTTAAAACAAGGAATTACTTCAATAATACTTCTATAATCATTAACATACTAATTCCATGTCTATTGGGAGACCAAGTGCCACAGCCCTGAAACAGTTCATTTTTAATTCGTCTCTCAAAGATTAAACAAACAAAAATACCCACTACAGAAATATTGTACTATCCAAAACAAAACAAAGGGGGGGGGGGGGGGAGGGAAAAAAAGAGAAAACTAAATGGTGGGATATTTATATACGCCAGGTTTGTAGTTAACTATTTTCCTTTATCCTTGTCTTTTTAAAAATGGAAATACCTCCTTACACTTCAAGGATTTGGTAACTTCAGACATGGGGTATGACCTGCTATGGAGTCTGCTAATAAAGATCACCAGAGGTGCTTTGTTTACTCTTCCCATCTCATTATCCAAATATAATTTCGATTCTGAATAACAAATTTTAAGGAAGACAAATGTGAACTGTCATAAAATCATGATATGTCAAAATTTAATGTTTAAAAACTGAAATTCTAAACGCTGTGTTCCGAAAGCCTTAGGTACTCAGCATGTACCCCAAATGTAAGTACTCCTTTTACCAATCTAAGTTCTTAATTTTTTTTGTTTGTTTTTTGTTTGTTTGTTTGTTTTTGTTTTTTCGAGACAGGGTTTCTCTGTGGTTTTGGAGCCTGTCCTGGAACTAGCTCTTGTAGACCAGGCTGGTCTCGAACTCACAGAGATCCGCCTGCCTCTGCCTCCCGAGTGCTGGGATTAAAGGCGTGCGCCACCACCGCCCGGCTTAAGTTCTTAATTTTTGACAAATACCTGAGGTCTTCATGCTTAACCACATCCTCAATATGTGGCTAAGTACTGACCTCAACAACAGTCTCTCCATATTTCTATGTCAACTTAACAGCTATGAAGAAATGGCAAATTTAATAAAGACATACAAGGCATATGAAATGTGCATAAATAATCTGGGGTGGACTATAATTAATTATATTCAAAGTATAAATATTACTACAGCTGGGGGTATAGTTCAGTTTGGTAGTGTTTGCCTACCATGGACAAAGTCCTGGGTTTGACCCCCAGCACCACGTAAACCAGGCATAGAATGTGAAAGAAGGGGATCAGAAGTTCAAGATCATTTTTAAGAGTTCCAAGCTAGCCTGGGCTACAAGAGACTATCTCAATAAAGCAAACAAAACAAAAGAAAAAGGTTATCAAGAGCTGATAAAGTATTTTAATAATTTGATAGCATCTTCTTGTCTATTTATACTCTTGGGAGAAAGTATTCAAGTTTAAAGGATTCTCCAGCTTTTTTCCCCCTAAAAGAACTGGGATTTACTAAGGATGCAAGGGGTGGGGTGTTTACTGCACCTAGCAAATTCTGGCCTTTGCTATCTTTGCTTTAATCAGAGGAGCATTTCATATGGTTAGGAACTTGTATTCCCTCTGAACCCTATACTCACTCTTCCTTCAGTACACATACCACAGAGACACTGGTTTTACATGGGCTGGAGCTAGTAAAGTGTTGTTCTTAGTAACTGGTTTCTTCTGAAAGTCATTTATCAAAGAACAGGGTGCTTCAATAATCCTGTTACTCACAGAAGTGTATCAATCACAGGGTATTCTAATCTCTCTTCCCATGTTATGGCATTAAACTCTTAAGTAAATTGCTGAGTCCTGAGCTCCTCTGATGTTTCAAAGATTCCTTGGTGCTAAAATCTTGCAAAGGGTTTTCTTACTTTAAGTTTTCATTACATGTACTTACAGCGTGTGTGATGCACACACGTGCATGTGTAGAGATCAGAAGACAACTTCAGAGAGCCACTTCTCTTTCACTCCTACTCCAAGGATTAAGACCGCCAGATCTGGCAGAAAGCAGCCTGACCTACTGAGCCATCTCACTACCTTCATTGTCCAGAGGATTCTGACATCATACTTTCTCTGAAATGTCCAACCTGATTATGAATATATTTATTCTCACATCTGCTCAGTAACAGCACCATCTAAATACTTCAATTAATGTAAATCCTCCTAGCTCTACATTCAGTTTAATTCAAAGTGAAAACTTTTTTCTAAAAAAAGCGATTTTGTTACAGTCAAAACCATGTCACTTTATATTCCAAGGACACATGTATGCAATGACCATGCACTGTGCCTCACCTATAACAGAAACTGTTTCTTATTCACAAAGTATTAATTCATGAACATGAGGACATCGAGTACCAATCTGTCTGTAACACACACTCTTGCCTTATTAGTTTAAGATATGAACTCTCACACACTAGTCTGAAATACGCCCCCCCCCCAATGAGAGATGGGGGTCCATGATGTCCCCTAGTAGTCTACCCAATAGGATGCAGGAAATCTTTCCTGTGTCCAGGACTTTAAACACAGTTCCAAGTTTCTACTTTATGAATCTTGGAACATTTCACTATTGGAGAAAGTCTAAGAAACTAAAACTGCACTAACTTAGCAGTCATGCAAGCCAGCAATTTTGTAAAAACTGTGCCTTGCAAAAGTAAACTGGTCTAGTATATAAATCCCTTCTCTTAATTTAAAATCAAAAGTAACAAAAAGAGTTTGTGATCAAGCTTAAAACAATTACTTTGTAAATTTCAGTAAAACGTCTGTGTGGCAACAACTAATTACAACTGAAATACTGCAAGAAAATATAAACTACAGTCTACATTAGTACCAAATTACTAAAGAATGCCTTGCTGGGTAATGACCAAAACATGAGCTTTCTTGAAGGTGCGGAGAGACAAGTGAAGGAACACCTGGAGTCTACTCCTTTAGATGCAGAGGAAACGATGCCACCTACTGTGAGCCAGGAGTGGGGAAAGACTGAGCTTGGCACCTGTCCCTTATTTAGCTATCTACACAGCCATGGTAAATACTTTACAGATGCTCATCCACAGGAGGCTAGCAGCTCGCTAACACGGTGACTAACAGTAGAAACCAGATAGACACCTAGCACCCCTCTGAGAGTCAGTGATACTGCAGTCACATGCAACCCTGCTAATCAAACTTCTGCTCAGTGAAGAAAGGCAACACAGATCAGGGCAGGCACAAGACACTGTCCAATACATGACCTGCCTAAGTATTCCAACAACAACAGATGACTGGTAAATTAAAATTTCAACCCCAGGTGTCTCTCTCTGCAGACTGAGGTCTGGTTCTAGAGATGTCAATACTGGAATTCAGAAGACAATGTTCTCAGATGAAAGGAAAAGAGTAAGAATGAGCTGGAGAAGAAAGGGAAGAAGGAAAAGGAGACCATGGCTAGTACTGTCTCCCCCCATAAGAAGTGAAATTACTTACGCATTAGGCTGTAAATGTGCTTTTCTGCAACGTGTTCCGTAAACAGCTTTATAAGATCATCTTTTAAGTCTCTGTTAAGTTTAGTTTCTATGTAAAACTTATTCTGAAAAATAAAATAAGTTTTTATATATCAACATGGGAAAGCAATCATACCCATGAATGGGAAAACCAAATAGTGTTTAAGGGAATAATGTATAAATGTACTGATTAAAAAAATAATAAGGCCGGGCGGTGGTGGCGCATGCCTTTAATCCCAGCACTTGGGAGGCAGATGCAGACAGATCTCTGTGAGTTCTTCTCTCAGCGAGAACGTGGGAATGGGACCTGTGTATGGGGGTGCGGGGTAACACAGAGGGGGATAAGAGAGGGTTGTAGAAGAAAGTAAACAGAAAGTACTATATATAGGATGAAATGGTGAAAGAACAAATTTAATAAAATAAAATTGTGAGGGGGAGAAGAAATGCCTTTCTTCACTCTCAAAATTGGGCATGATTTCTTCTGTCACCTTCACTTTTAGGCTCATTCCATTTAGATGTGAAGAATAAGGTATTGATTACACCTCCTACTCTCAACTCCAGATTCATGAAGACACCCATCGTTAATCTGACTCAGGAAAAGAAAACCAGAACACAATTAACCACATGGTTTGGGAGGTAAACAGAGCTCTAACTTACCATATATATGAAAAGAGGCACGATGCTCTGTAATGCTCCCATATACTGTCCCAGAGCTATATTAAATCTCTCAATATAGAGGTCTGGAGGGCTGGCCTGTAAGAAAGCAGAACAACATAAGCACTCTGAGAAACCAAGTAAAAGTCCTTCTTCAACCTCCTGCAATACAAACCAACTTAGAAAGAAATCAAATTCCCATAAGATGTGTAGTGTGGTGTGTGTGTGTGTGTGTGTGTGTGTGTGTAAGAGAGAGACTTATATTTTAAAGTCAGCTAAGGTGTCTTTGTTCCAAATCAGTTTAGTCACCTTTAAAAACTGTAGAACTTTAACATATTATGTTTTTAATAAATCACCATTGAATTAGGGAGACAGTACCTACAGGAAACAAGCTATATTGGGAAAAGGGGGGCTCAAACATGTAAAACAGGTTCAAGGTTCAAGATACTACTAGAGGGGCTAAAGAGATGCCCAGCTGTTAAACATGCTCGCTGCTCTTGGAAAAGTACCCAGGTTCAATTCCCAGCAGCTTACAACCATCTGTCCCTCTGGTTCTAGGGAACCCAATACCACACAAGCACTGTACACATGAGGTATACAACATACACTCAAGTAAAACACTTATACACATAAGAAAAAAAACCAACCTCTTTTTTTTTTAAAAGACACTGTTAGAATGGCTAATAAACTTTATAATGCTAGCTTGGTTGTAAACAGCTACTCTAGCTAATAAACTATCAACATGAGAAGTAAGAACTCAAAGAATTCACATATACATGCAGGTCTAGACTGAAGTACAGTATAACTTCACCCACTGCTACAAAATACTAAGCCACAAAAGTCACTATGGAAACCTCTTTTTTACTGTGTGTTGAGTGAACATGTCTGGTCTCCCAGTATAGCTGTATCTGAAATAAGGAAATAATTAAAACTCCATGAGGTCATAAGGGCATGGCCCTCGTCCTACAAGACTGTGTGTTCTTAAAAGGATACCAAAGGGCTTACTCCCAAACATTTGCTATCAAAATGTGGCACAGAGGAAAGGCTTTGGTGAAAATGCTTCTTCCTACAAGTCAGCAAGAGTCCTCACCAGGAAACCCCTAACCCAGAACTTGATCCTGAACTTCTCTGCTTTTAAATTACTATAAGAAATAAGTTTCCCAGGCTGTGGTATTCTGCTGTAAGTTGAAGGCGTAAGTCACAAACAATGCCACACCAGGTTGGAATTATGATTAATAGGGTGGTATTTATTTAAAGGGGAAAAAACTTACAGATCACTGTCCCAGGCAACCAGGAAGGGAGTCTAGTCACCCTGCGGAGCAGGAAGTGAAGAGAGAGAGGAGAGGGAAGTGGCCACTTTTTTAAAGGGAGAGAGACCACGCCCCAATGGGCTGCTATCTCAGCGGCTATTGGCTGGAGGAGTGGGAGGACCTCCTGCAACACCTCCCCCTTTTGTTTAAATAAGAGAGTTCTAAACCTACTATGAAATTATATACAATAAGTACAAATATCCTATTCTAACTAGGTCTTGTATAATAAATAACTTGGCCAAGTCATGAGAGAAAGTAACTACATTTATATAGTATTCAACCCCATCGAAGATCTGAGAAGGGAAATAATGTTACCTGGGTAATTAGGAAGTTCAGTAAAACAACTTCCAAAACATGCAACAAATCACAGAGACAACTAGCTACCTGGGCAATCACCCAAAGTCACATTAGCAGCGTTGAAACACCCAACTTTGGCTAAGGCCTAACATAACTGACATACCATTTTCAAAGGCAAGCAACTTTTCAAAACTATCTTACCCTGTCTTGGCAGGATATGACAGTCCTGTTTTATCCATTGATGCACGCTCTGTATCTTTGTCAGTGGTTGAGGTATGGGCATTTCTTTGCCCAAAGGCCAGTTCTGCCAAAAAGAAAGGCTCTAGGTGGAGTGTCTATGGTGCTCAACATTCTCTCGGGAATAGAGCAGTGTTGCCAGGAGCAATTGTGTCTCACTACCACAAAACTCTGAGTTAGATTAAAGGCCATTTTCTACAGCTCTTTAAGAAGTTGAAGATTATCTATCTATACTGAGTATAATCTCTATATATCTAAAGAACCTGATTAGTCTAATTATAAATGACAAACTTAGATGACTATTTATCTATATAATTCTCAATATCTATCTAACTTAAAGACTAAGAAAATAAATGACTGTAAAACAAATGAGGACAATGACCTCCAAATATAAACAATGTACAAATATACATTGCAGTAGGTAAATATATATCAATACACAAACATTATATAAGTATCTTAATCAGAGGTAGAAATGTACACTGCAATATGGTAAATATATACAATATATATATCAATACAATATATGTCAATACATAAAAAAAGTTTTAAACAGAGGTAGAAACATGCATGCATACAATAGTCAATATAATTTAACTTTGTGTCAATATACAAGAATCTATACCAATATATTTGTCTAAAAACAGTAACTCACAATTACAAATCTATTATCCCATCATCCCTCTTTTTTTTTTTTCAAAATGATCCCTGAGCTTATAAAATTCCTCCCCAAACCCTCAATCATATACTAATTATAATCAACCCCTAAATGATGTCCCTAAACCCAAGGGCAAACTTTACTGGGAGAGGGGACGTCGTCCTCTAGAATTACTTGTCATGGGGGCGACGTTCTTTCTGGGGGATCCTGTGAAAGTAAAATGATGGTTCAATTTCAAGATCAATGTCTTTTAAAATTGCAAATAGTCTCTGAGTATTTTGTGCAGGTCTGGCCAAAATGTTGTATAAGATGTGCACCATTTCAGCTAACCAAGTTGGAACTGTCTTGTGCAGCTGTACCCAAAGCAGGTCTTGTAGTAGCGCTATCAGTATCATGACGTCATAACAACCAGGTGGAGTTGTTGTTGTGGGGCCCCATCTTCTTCCTGGAAACTTCAAATGTCACTTCAGGAAAAATTCATTGTTCATTGTGAAAAACTTAAACATTAATCATACAGACATATATGTATATATTCACTGAAAGGCATGATAGATATATTCAATGAAAAGTATGATAGATATGAAGAAAAGCAAAGATGTTTTCTAAACTCATATTTCTTTCTGTCCCATATCATGGCTCTTGACATGAGACAGAAACTCCAGAAACTCTGGGTTTTTCTCTTACTAATAGGCTTGGAATTGGAGAGGGACTGAGCCAGAGTCCCACTTCAAAACCAGCTTTATAAATTTAGAAATATGGTTTAATACTACTTACACAACCCATTCAGTTTTCTTGATATTTCCTATTGGGCAGGTATTTTTCCATCTGTCAGTATCCAAACATCCAGGGTCCCTTGAATTTTTCAAAGATGAATGTTTTCCTGGGGAGATAGGAACAGAACCCTGCCCCCATTCTATATGTTTTTCTTACCACCTGTATGAATATCATCATTGTGGATGAGTTGTCATTTCTCCTTTCCAAGAGGTTTCTCCTCTTCAAATCGAAACTTTATTAATTTTGATGGAATCCACAATTTTTCTTCTCCTGTGGAAACAAGAGCAAAACCCCTTCCCCAACGTAGCACATCTCCTGGCTTCCATTGAGAGGTCAGCACATCTTTGAAATAAATCGGTTGATTTAGTTCAGCAGACTTTTCCATTATCCAATGTCTTTCTGCTGCTGTCGTTCCTTTCTCATTAGCGTTAAGAAAATTCAAGGTTAATAAAGCATTATGTAATCTATTTCTGGGGGTATTTTCAGTCCCTTTCTGTTTGTTCAGCATATCCTTTATAGTATGATTTGATCTTTCTATAACTGCCTGACCTGTAGGATTATTTGGTAAATCTGTAATGTGTTTTATATTATAATAATCAAAAAAGCATTTAATTTTCTTAGATACATATGCTGGACCATTATCTGTCTTTATTTGTGCAGGTATACCCATGATGGCCATAACTTCTAATAAATGTGTGATTACTGAATCAGCCTTTTCTGAGCTTAGGGCAGTAGCCCAGTGAAAACCTGAATACGTGTCTATGGTATGGTGTACATATTTTAATTTACCAAATTCCATAAACTGGAACACATCCATCTGCCAGATTTCATTTCTCTTAGTACCCTTTGGGTTACTCCCTGCAGGCAACGGTGTTTGATTATAGAAAGAACAAGTAGGACATCTCTTTATAATGTCCTTAGCTTGTTGCCAAGTAATGGAAAATTCTTTCTTTAGGCCTTTACTATTGACATGATGCTTCTTATGAAATTCTGAGGCCTGCAACACACTTCCAATCAATAATTGATCAATCTCAGTGTTGCCTTGTGCTAGAGGACCAGGCAGACCTGTATGGGACCGGATGTGTGTTATGTACATCGGACAAAGCCTGTTCCTGATTATGTCTTGTACCTGGATAAACAATGAAGTCAACTCTGTGTCATCTGGTATAAATTCAGCGGTTTCAATATGTAAGATAACTCTTTCTGCATATTGTGAATCTGTAACTATATTAAGAGGTTCTTTAAAATCCCTTAGCACCATAAGAATGGCATATAATTCTGCCTTCTGGACAGAATTATAAGGGCTTTGTTCCACCTTACTCAATTCACCTGACTTGTAACCTGCTTTCCCTGATTTATTTGCATCAGTATAGAACGTACGGGCTCCTGTTATTGGAGCATCACGTACAATTCTAGGAAGAATCCAAGAAGTTCTTTTTATGAGGTTAAACCTACCACTTTTGGGATAGTTGCTATTAATTTCTCCCAAAAAATTAGCACAATCTCTTTGCCACGGTTCATTGTCTTCCCATAACTTTTTTATTTCTTTAGTAGTAAAATGCACTATAATTTCTGCTGGGTCTATACCTGCTAGTTGACAAAGTCTCAGCTTACCTTTTATAATTAATTCAGAGACTTTTTCCACATAAGTTTTTAATTTTTTACTTGGTTTATTAGGTATAAATATCCACTCTAAAATAATATCTTCCCTCTGCATTAGAATCCCTGTAGGAGAAATTATGGAAGGCAATATGACTAGGATGCAGCTAAGATTTGGGTTCACCCTATCCACATGTGCCTCCTGTAATTTTTCCTCAATCATT